CTTCAACTTTATCCTCCAGTGTTGATATTCTGTTTTCCATTTCATTCATTCTAGCGGTGAGGCTTTCCCCTGTTGTTTCAATTTGGCTTATTGAGTTTTGCACTTAGTTCTTCATTTCTGCCTGAGTTATCTTCAATGTTTCTCTTTTGTGAATTCATTCAGAAGTTTATCCCTATATTCTTAGTTCTTAATTTGTCTGTTCGTGTGTTCTTTAAATTCATTGAATTCCTTGATCATGTTTATGATTGCTCTTTTAAATTCAGTGTCCTGGGTTATCTCTAGGGGGTTCTCCTTGTAGAACTCTTCTAAGGGATGGTGGAGTTTGGTGGGGACATAGTGTTTTGGCTTTCCATTTTGTTAATTCTTTCGTTGTGATTTTGGCATGTGAATTTCTTTTGTTGTTTATATTTCTGATTTGAGAATTAAGTTGAAGTATGCTTCTGTTTGTATTATCGGGTGCCTAGATCCTTTCTTTATTGGTTATGTAAAGCTGGTTGGTACAGTGTTCAGGTTCTCTCAGGTTTAATTCGGAGGGAACTGATGGCTTCAGATCAGCTATTCAGGAGTACCCACAGAAGCCCAATTCAGGTTCTAGTCAGGTACACTCAGGCTTCCCTCACCACATGGAGGCAGGATCTGGGCGCTCTCAGGCAGTCCATCCTCTCAGGTTGTCTGCTAGGATCTCAGCCTTAGCCTACCAAAGCTAGATCTGCCCTGGGTCCTTGGGAGGGGGTCTCAGGAAATCCCAGGTAGAGGGATGTGTATGGCGCAATTAGGGGAAGCTCACCATCAAGTGGAGGTAGGATCGGGAGCTCTCAGGCGGTCCCCTGCGTTCTCAGCCCCTCTGTCAGAGAGAGGCCAGAGGGAGGCCAGAACTCGGCACTGCTGAGATCTGAGCCACTACATTAATGGAGATTGGAACCCACCCTCTCAGGCTGTCTGCTAGGATCGCTTATTTATTTATTTATTTATTTACCTGCCGTATCACACCACACTGCACCTGCCGTATCACACCACACTGCACCTGCCGTATCACACCACACTGAACTTGCTGTATCACACCACCCGTGAGGTTCTCTTTCCAGTGCATCCTAATGAATTTCATTAGGGCCGTTTTTGTTTTGATTTGTTTTTTGAGACAGGGTCTCCCTGTAGCCCCAGCTGTCCTGGAACTTACTATGTAGAACAGGCGGGCCTTGAACTCCCCGAGTGCTAGGATTAAAGGTGTGCGCCACCACACCTGGCCTGTTTATTTATTTTTATTTTATTTTATTTTATTTTGGTGTTTTGAGACAGGGTCTCCCTGTAGCCCCAGCTGTCCTGGAACTCACTTTGTAGACTAGGCTGGACTTGAGGTCACAGAGATCCGCCTGCCTCTGCCTCCCAGTGATGGGACTAAAGGCGTGCGCCACCACGCCGGCTTTAATTTTTAATTATATGCATGTGCTTCTGTTTGTGGGGTATATATATATGTGAATGCAGTTGCCTGTGGAAGCCAGAAGAGGTCATCAGACCCCTGGAATTGGAACTACAGGTTATGTTTTGTGTGAGCTGCCAGTTGTGGGTGGTGGAAACCTGAACCCAGGGCTTCTGCAAGAACAGTACACTCTTTTAACCACAGATCCATCTCTCTAGCACCATGCTTGATATGTCTTGAAGAAGTCCTGTAGCCAAGCATATAGAACTGTTGAAGAAGAATTTTAATTTTTTTTTTTGGTCTTTTTGAGACAGGGTCTCCCTGTAGCCCCAGCTGTCCTGGAACTCACTATGTAGACCAGGCTGGCCTTGAACTCACAGAGACCTGCCTGCCTCTGCCTCCCGAGTGCTGGGATTAAAGGCGCGTGCCACCACACCCGACGAATTTTCATTTTTTAATTGAATTTTTGTGAATTTCATACAATATGTTTTGATCATATTTAGACCCCTTCCCCTATCTGCAGTGCTCTTATAGCCCCCCTTTGCTGGATTTCATGTACTCTGTCATATATATTAAGGCCTATTGAACCAAGTTTGTGTCCCCAAATGTCCTTTGGTGTGCATCTGTCTTCTGGATCCTGGCTATTGTGTATCTAATGTCACATCCTCAGAAAAAACCAACCCTCCCTCTCTCAGTTATTGGTTGCCAATAATTCTTCAGCTAAGGTTGGGGCTTCTTCCCCACTTCTGTGCTGGTATTTTTCTGGCTTGAGTTTGCATGGGTCTTGTGCATGCTGTTACCATCGATGTGAGTTTATGTAAGTAACTTCCCTGTTGTGTGGAATACTCCATTTCCTTGTGGTCAACCACCAACTTGGACTCTTAAAATATTTCTGTCCCTTCTTTCCTAAAATTTCTGTCTCTGAGCCTTGGGTAGCAGAGGTTTGATATAGATGTCCTATTCAGGAATAAGCACTTTCTTATTCTGCATTTTGGTCAATTGTGGCTTTATGGGTTAATCACCATCTGTTGCATGAGGAAACTTCACTGGTGAGAGATGAGAGATGCATTAATATTCTTTCTTCCCTCTGTTCCACTATATTTCCAGAGCCTTAGAGGTTGCATTGTAGATGTGTCACTTAAGGCTGAGCACCTCACACTTATTCTCTGCATCTGACCAATAGTGGAACTTTGTAATAATCTCCATCTGTTGCAAAAAGAAGCTTCTTTGATAGGTACATTTCTCGAGCTAGTCAGGAGCTCTCAGGCAGCACAAAGGGGTCTAGGCCCAAGGCCTTGAATTTATTTTTAATTTTTTTGTCTTTTAAAAATATATTTTATTATTTTTATTTTATGTGTATGAGTGTATTGTCTGCATGTATGTAAGTTCACCCGTGTGGTGCAATGCCCACGGAGAGTAGAAGAGGGTATCAGGTCCCCTGGAACAGGTCCCCTGGAGCTAGAGTTATAAATGGTTGTTAGTTGCCATGTGGGTACTGGGAACTGAACTTGGATCCTCTGTGAAACCAGTCAGTGCTCTTAACTGCTGAGCCATCTTTCCAGCCCCCCCCCCTTATGTCTTTTTGAGACAGTGTCTCCCTGTAGCCACAGCTGGTTTGGAGCTTGCTATGTAGATCAGTCTGGCCTTGATCAGACAGAAATCCACCTGCCTCTGCATCCTGAATGCTGGATTTAAAGGCATGTGCCACCACACCTGGATATTTATTTATTTATTTTTAATTTATTATTTTATTTTATTTTTTATTTTTTGTCTTTTTGAGACAGGGTCTTACTGAAGCCCCAGCTGGCCTGGAATTCACTTTGTAGACCAGGCTGGCCTTGAACTCACAGAGATCTACCTACCTCTGCCTCCTGAGTATTGGGACTAAAGGTGTGCACCACCACACCTGGCTTATTTTTATTTTTTTATATAGGGTCTCACTATGTAGCTCTGGCTGTCCTAGAACTCACTATATAGACCAGACTGTCCTGGAATTCATAGAGATCCTCCTGTGAGGAAGATATTTTAAATATATTTTTATTTTATGTGTATGAGTATATTATCTGCATGTAGCTAGTTGCACTCGTGTCATGCAGGGCTCACAGAGGTCAGAAGAGGATGTCGGATCCCCTGGAACTGGAGTTATGGATAGTTGTTAGCCGCCATGTGGGTTCTGGGAATCAAACCTGGGTCCTCTACGAGAGCAGCCAGTGCTCTTAACTGCTGAACATTACATATATATGTATAAACATTTTTTTTTCTTTTTGAGACAGGGTCCCCCAGTAGCACCAGCTCACTATGTAGTCCAGGCTGGCTTTGAACTCACAGAGATCTGCCTGTCTCTGCCTGCCTCCCTAGTGCTGGTATTAAAGGCGTGCACCACCACATTTGGCTGAGGAAGATTTTTTTAAGTTTTAAAAAATATTTTATTTTATTATTTTTATTTTATGTGTATGAGTGTATTGCCTGCATGTACATGAGCACACCCATGTCGTGCAATGCCGCAGAAGTCAGAAGAGGTCTTCGGATTCCCCTGGAACTGGAGTTAAGGATGGTTTGTAGCCGCCATGTGGGTGCTGAGAATTCAACCTGGGTCCTCTGCAAGAGCAGTCAGTGCTTTAACCGCTGAGCCATCTTTCCAGCCCCCTGAGGAAGATATTTTTAAACTTTGAGGTTCTTTTTATTGTTAATGAATTGTTCCCTCCCTCCCTCCCTCCCTCCTTCCTTCCTTCCTTCCTTCCTTCCTTCCTTCTTTCTTTTGTGTTTCTATCTGGTTTCCTAGGAAGGGGTTTGGGCATGATGGAGTACTGAAACCATACATCTAAATTATCCCCTTCTACAACCTGTGACACTCCTCAGTGACACTCTACCACACAATCATCACTGTCACGTAAAAGTTTCTTCTAGCTCCAGGTTCTCTTATCTCCCAGATGGGGCTGCAGAGGCAGAGCTCTCTCAGGCTGATGGAAGGGTTTGTAGTATTACTCCTTCCCCTCACTTCCTGCTGATGTGTAATCTGTTTTATTTTTCCTCCAGGGGAAGCCATATGTCTTTGACCGTGTGTTTCCCCCAAACACGACTCAGGAGCAAGTTTATCATGCATGTGCCATGCAGATCGTCAAAGGTAAGAGATGATTTTAGAACATATTTCCCCATGCACCCTGTATCCTATCCCCATGTATCTCCACCAGTATTCTTTCTCTGTCATCTCTTCTAGATGTACTTGCTGGTTACAATGGCACAATTTTTGCTTATGGACAGACATCCTCAGGGAAAACACATACCATGGAGGTAGGAATGTTCATGGAAGATCAATGAGTCTCAGTGGGGGAAGATTATGGAATAGAGCGTGGCCTGGATTGGAGGCAGATGGATCCAGACGGATGAACTGAGGGGCAAAGTGATAGGGGGAGTTCTGTGGAGTCCCTTCAGCCTGCCTCAGTTTCCCTCCCTCCTCTACTACAGTTGTCTTCCTTTGAGTCGGAAAAGCAGCAGCCATGGCTGTTCAGAGTTGCTCAGTCAGCTCTTTCCATTACGGGGATGCTCCTCTGTCAGTCCTTACCTTTGTGTTCCCCTGCCTTCCTCTGAGTTTCTCGTTCTTCCTGAGCCCCAGCCTCATGCTGGGATGTTTTCCCTCCCCAGGGAAAGCTGCACGACCCCCAGCTGATGGGAATCATTCCTCGGATTGCTCGAGATATCTTCAACCACATCTATTCCATGGATGAGAACCTTGAATTCCACATTAAGGTGATCAGCGAGTAACAGCTGGGTACCTCAGATGGGGACTGAGGGAAAGATCTAGAATGAACTTGCTAAAGGTTTTGGGCTCCCCAGCTTCCTCCCTTTCTGGTTACCTAAGTTTTTCACCAAGTGTTCTCTTCTGAACTTTCCCTGCCCCACATCCCTTTGAGCAGGTCTTATTGATGTGGGATTTCTGTGTTAGATTTAAGATCAGCCCTCTAACATCATATCCCTTTCTCCCTAACCAGGTTTCTTACTTTGAGATTTACCTGGATAAAATTCGTGACCTTCTGGATGGTGAGTGTTTAGCTCTACCTGGTAAGGGTGTGTGAGAAGGCTGAGGGAAGAAAGATCACCATGCCAGGGAATACATGCTCCTTGGACCCAGGACATACCTCCTTATACCTGAGTCCTTGGGCTCTGCTCACCAAACATTTTCAGCCAGGTGTGGTGGTGCATGCCTATAATCCTAGCTACTTGGGAGGCTGAGGCAGGACAGCAATTTTGAGGCTACCCTGGGCAACTTAGTAAGATCTTATCTCAAAAGAAAAAATTTAAAGGGCTGGATATATAAGTTAGAGGTGGAGCCTACCTAGCATGAAGGAGGCCTTAGGTTCAACCCCTAATGTAGCCAAAAGAAAGAAAAGAAGGAAGGAGAGGGAGGGATGGGGGTGTAGATCAGGTGGTGAAGTGCTTTACTAGTATGGATGAAGTCCTGGGTTCAATCTCCAGTACCACAAGGACAAAACAAGAATTTTTTTTCCCCAAAACTGTGAAACTCGAAAGATGAGCTAAAAGGCTTAGCTCTTATGCACAAGAGCTAGAGCCCTGTGAAGGGGAATGGAACCTTCTCTGTGCATGTGGGGTTTGGACTTCCCTGGGGAGTCTTCCTTCCTTTAGTATGACTGCAGGGTACACAGATGAGGTGGGGTCCTGGTCTTGCTCACGCTGCATTATCTTGATTCAGTGACCAAGACAAACCTGTCTGTGCATGAGGACAAGAACCGGGTGCCATTTGTCAAGGTGAGAGAGCAGGGTGGATTCCTGTATGGGACTTGAGCATCAAGAGTGTGTGAGAGGGAGGAGGATGGGTCACTGACCAAGAAAGTAGAGGGTTGAGATTTGCCAAGAGGCCAGAGAGATTTGTAGACTTTTTAATATATTTTATTTATTACTTTTATTATTTTATGTATATGAGTGTACTGTCTGCATGTGTGTAAGTACACCCATGTTATGTAATGCCTACAGAGGTCAGAAGAGGGCATTGGATTCCCCTGAAACTGGAGTTATGAACAGTTGTTAACTGCCATGTGGGTGCTGGGAATCAAACCTGGGTCCTCTGAAAGAGGTTCTGTAAGACGGCTCTTAACCACTGAGAAATCTCTCCAGCCCCAGAAAAGACTCTTGGGCAGTATGCAGGCAGCTTAATCTGGATCAAAGCTTATGGTCCCTGCACATCTACCTCTTGCAGGGTTGTACTGAACGCTTCGTGTCCAGCCCAGAGGAGATCTTGGACGTGATTGATGAAGGGAAATCGAACCGTCATGTGGCTGTCACCAGTGAGTGGGGGGATAAAGGGCTCTTAAGTCCAGGGTTCTGCTCATCTCTCCCCTGTGCCCACTGGGGGCAAATGAGCAAGGGAGGAGGGGCCCCTTGCCAAGGAGATGACACAGTAGGAATGGTCCTAGAGGCCCTTCTCTCAGTGGGGGGAGTGGCAGCCAGTGGGCACTGTGGCTGAGGGCTGCAGTTCTGCACGGGTTGGTAAGGTGGAGGTCCCTCTCTCCTTGCTCCTGCAGATATGAATGAACACAGCTCTAGGAGCCACAGCATCTTCCTCATCAACATCAAGCAAGAGAACATGGAGACTGAGCAGAAACTTAGTGGGAAGCTGTATCTTGTGGACCTGGCAGGAAGCGAGAAGGTTGGAGGATCTTTGGAGTGAGGTGGGGAGGGGGTGGAGAAGGTTTGCCTTTTTGAAAAATTAAGTTTGTAAGGTGGATATGGTGCCTCATGCTTGTAATCCCAGCACTTGGGAGGCTAAGGCAGAGGATTGCTGTGAATTTGAGATCAGCTTGGGTTCTCTTTTTGAGAACCTGTCTCAAAAACTATAATTCATGGGTTGGCAAGGTGACTCAGCAGGTAAAAGCTCTTGCCATGCAAGCCTGATGGCCTGAGTCTGATCCCCAGAGCCCATGTAAAGGTGGATGGAGAGAGGGCTGGCGAGATAGCTCAGCGGTTAAGATCACTGGCTGCTCTTGCAGAGGACCGGGGTTAGATTCCCAGCACCTGCGTGACTGCTAACAACCATCTGTGACTCCAGTTCTGGGGAATCCGACACCCTCTTCTGACCTCCATGGGCACTGCACCACATGGGTGCACCAACCCACATGCGGGCAATACACTCATGCACATAAAATAAAAATATTAAAATAAAAATTTTTTTGGTCTTTTGGAACAGGGTCTCCCTGTAGCCCCAGCTGTTCTCGAACTCACTATGTATAGATCAGGCTGGCCTTGAACTCACAGAGATCTGCCTGCCTCTGCCTCCTGAGTGCTTGGATTAAAGGCATGCACCACCATGCCTGACTAAAGTAAAAAAAAACTTTTTTTTTGGTCTTTTTGAGACAGGGTCTCCCTGTAGCCCCAGCTGTCCTGGAACTCACTATGTAGACCAGACTGGCCTTGAACTCACAGAGATCTGCCTGCCTCTGCCTCCCGAGTGCTGGGAGCCGCCACGCCCGGCGTAAAAATTTA